CGCTCAGTTCAAAGAATATTTCCTTCGTGTTCTCAAAAACAACTATCAGTCGTATTCTTTGCTAACCGCTTATGTTGAACAGGTTGCTATTCATTTAATTGAATTAACATGGTCATATCTATAGAATTGATCAGCGAATATTTCCTTAAAATAAATATTTCCTGAGATGCGCTCTCTGGAACGACAAAATCAATCCATAGCGAATTTTCAAGTCATGTATCGCTTTGAAGCTTGTTAAAATCTATCCGTTGAAGTCTTAACAAAACATTATGAGCCAATAACCGAATCAAATGATGTATTAGTAATCACGAGGTAATCAGCTGAATCTTCTGATCAATGTCTCAGGTTTTCAACTGTTCAATGAAAGGTGATAATGGATTGATGAACTGCGCAGATATCGATCGGAATGAAATGTCGCAGATTTACAAACAATCCTCTACAGTAGAATATGCTGTCAAATTAACGTATGTGCTGGCCGTGGTTGGTGCACGCGTTGAAAATATCACCACTACGTTTTCAGATCCGATCTGGTTGGTAGCTTACATTTTTTAAACCGATGACTAGCACAGGTACCCATAGATCGTGGCGGAAGAGTGGGGGAGGGGGTGGGATGTAGCCACCTCAAAACTCGCATTAGTTCCTCAACTGTTGTGAATCTGAATGACGGTCTTACAGACGATCCCGTCACGATTTACTTTTCCTCGACTTTTAAGCTTAAACAATGGACCAAATTTGTGGAGTACATCCATTATAGCTGCAGATCAATTGATGTTCCAGTATCGTTTTTAGAGATTTGGTTTGTTTCAATGGCTAAGTGAGCGATGAATCAACCGTCAGTCGTAATTTTATTCGAATTTCAGTGATCGCCCAACCCCAGAATGCAATCAACTGATAATGGATGAATTGGAATCTCTCGACTATGTGTTCGGTGCTAGCGATCCAGCCGAACTGAACTCACAACGATTGCAGTTTTACAGGAACAAAGATGATTCTGTGCTCATTTCTAGTGGTATTATCATTGAGGGCATACTCTTATTTAACGACGATCATATGGTTCCTATGGTGCACATGGTGAAGACCGTTTAATATTGATAATAAGTTTAAGAGTCGTTTGGATGAACTAAATTCTCTCTTATCATTCATTCATAATAAACAAGCTCAACGGTTGAATCATCAAAGCGCATGCATTGCTCTCAACAAACCTTACAACCTCACCGAATATCAAAACCTTTCCAGGTGATCGAATACGAGACTGGCAGTAAACCGCGTGTTATCAACAACAATTTGAAATATCTAAAAATCCGTTCGCAGTGTGCGCCCTATCGACCGTTTTGCGGCACTTGTAAACAAGTCACTGAAGTCGATTCGAATGTAAATCAGTGAATTCAATTAACTTATTCGTTCCAGTGAAATTTTCAGCTCGAAAATACCCTAAAATTTACACATTGAACCAAGTTCCAAGTCCGTGATGAGTGAAACGACGAGAGCAATTAAATCTTGTTAATTCTGTCATGTATAGTTATTCTATCTCACCTTATTAATTAGTTCAGCTCTCACGAAAGGCACCGTTGAATTGGATCATTTATCATTCTTGTCATTGTTTGATATGATCTTCACTGGAAAACACTTCCAAATAAATTTTTTTTTCAGAAATATTTCCTCTCAATTCCAAAAGAATATCCGCTCTACATAATGGCACTATTCGATTTTCACGATGGACGCAACTGTCAGTCATTCAAAAATTCCGATATCTCATTGCCGATGTCGTTCATTCATACGGTATGTGTGATCAACGGGTGATCAATGTGTCTCATTTTATTTTTTCAAACTTTCCTTCGATATATTACTATTACGATGTCTAACTTACAATGTTATCATTTAAAAAAACTCCAGATATGGACATTCCGTAAACGATATCCTCAATTGAAATTGCTTCAAAATCTCGACTTTGGCGCACTTCTCGTAGATTCTTGTTCAATTGGTAAGACTGCAGCTGAGGTGATTATTATCGGTGAAACGCAGTGTTTCACTTTCCAACAAGCCGATCGTAATATCACGATTGTACCCGGCTCTGTTTTTGGTCAGTTATACTCTTCATATACTTCCAGTCGTGCTCACAACTTCTTATTGTCATTTTCTCTTTATCATTCCAAATGCTATCACGTCAAAAAATAATTCTATTCCTTATAATTCCAGTTCGCGGGTTCATTCAGC